ATTTTTTCAAGCAATAAGTTTTTAAAATATCCAAAATGATACATTTCTATTGTGTTTTTCAATATTTGAGATATTTGAAATATTAATAGAAAATGAGCCTATTCAGTATTGTTGACTTTATATCACACAATTGTATTAATGGAAGTTATGTCATAAAAAATCATGTATTAGATATCTAATGAAGGCAAAGAAGGATATCAAATAATGTCTACGGAATGTAAGTGTTCTTTTCTTTAACCGAAAAATGAAAAGCGTTGTAACCTTTTATTCCACTCAAATCAGGCTGAGAATAATACAAGAATATGATTTTCAATTTGTCGTTGAGTATATTTCTTAATGGTCATTTGCATATCTATTTGTTTAAAGTACCCGAGACAAAATATGTATAGACGTTCAAATTCATGTTTGTACTCTTTTGACCTCAGTGGAGTTCCAATAAATTGTACTCGCATGATATTCGTAGCATACCACTACATGTACCAACCATATTCTCTAAATGCCCTTGATGTTTCTTCCTTATCATATCCGAAGTTTTCATTTCATAATAAAGTGATGATGAGGAAACGTATTTCGGCACAGATATGCAGGAAATTTATTAATAATTATAGTACTTATTTTTTATTGTTTCTTGGGAGATATGTATAAGCTGCGCTTAGTGAGCATTATACACTTACTTTGTTAACAAATATTCTTAATTATGTTTACGAATTTTTGAAAAAAAATTGTCAGATATTTGCATAAATTACATCTGCATTTTACTATAATCATATTGCTTTTTGCGTTTGTTTATTCCATATCAAATTGTTACAACACTATACACTAATTTTGTAAACAAATATTCTCAATTATGTTTCCGGATCTTTGAAACAAATTTGTAAGATATTTATTTGCATAAATAATAAACTGCATTTTATTATAATCATTTATGCGTTTGTTTATTCCATATCAAATTGTAAAAGACCGAAACACATGCAAATCAATACTTTATTAACCATAAATGAATAAAAATGTAAAATTTATTTGAATTTAACTGAACTAATCTGTCAGTAATAGATGTTATTTGAAACTACGGAAACGTGATATTTCCTTATCTTATAGCTGGGTACAAAATACTTTAACAGCGTCAAGACAAGCTTCTGTTTATAGTTATAGAGTAATCAACTCGTTGTCATCTCTACATTTTCTTACATGTCACTGTCACAAATTTATATGCCAATTTATATTGAAAAAGCCCTATATTTGCCGATAAGCGATGTATTTCTTCTGTAATATTGCCCAACTGTAACAATGACGGCCTCTAACATTGCCCCAATTTAACATTGCCCTCACTGTAACATTGACCCCCTGTAACATTGCCCTATTATAACATTGATCCACTGTAACATTGACCCACTGTAACATTGACTCACTGTAACATCAATCCACTGTAACATTGACTCACTGTAACATTGAACCCCTGTAACATTGCCCTATTATAACATTGTCCCACTGTAACATTGACCAACTGTAACATTGACCCACTGTAATATTAACCCACTGTAACATTGACTCACTATAGCATTTATCCACTGTAACATTGACTCACTGTAACATTGACTCACTGTAACATTGACCCACTTTAAGATTGATCCACTGTAACATTGACTCACTGTAACATCAATCCACTGTACTATTGACCCACTGTAACATTGCCCACTGTAACATTGACTCACTGTAACATTGACCCACTGTAACATTGCCCCACTGTATCATTGACCCACTGTAACATTGACCCACTGTAACATTAACCCACTGTAACATTGACTCACTGTTACATTGATCCACTGTAACATTGACCCACTGTAACATTGACCCACTGTAACATTGTCCCAATGTAACATTGACCCATGCTAACATTGACTCACTGTTACATTGATCCACTGTAACATTGACTCACTGTAACATTGACTCACTGTAACATTGACTCACTGTAACATTGATCCACTGTTACATTGACTCACTGTAACATTGACTCACTGTAACATTGACTCACTGTTACATTGATCCACTGTAACATTGACTCACTGTAACATTGACTCACTGTTACATTGATCCACTGTAACATTGACTCACTGTAACATAGACTTACTGTAACATTAGCCCACTGTAACATTGACTCACTGTTACATTGACCCACTGTAATATTGATCCACTGTTACATTGATCCACTGAAACATTGATCCACTGTAACATTGACCCACTGTAACATTGACCCACTGTAACATTGAGCCACTGTAACATTGATCCACTGTAACATTGATCCCACTGTAACATTGATCCACTGTAACATTGATCCACTGTAACATTGAGCCACTGTAACATTGATCCACTGTAACATTGACCCACTGTAACATTGATCCACTGTAACATTGATCCACTGTAACATTGATCCACTGTAACATTGACCCACTGTAACATTTACCCACTGTAACATTGAGCCACTGTAACATTGATCCACTGTAACATTGTCCCACTGTAACATTGATCCACTGTAACATTGAGTCACTGTAACATTGACCCACTGTAACATTGATCCACTGTAACATTGACCCACTGTAACATTGACTCACTGTTACATTGATCCACTGTAACATTGATCCACTGTAACATTGAGCCACCGTAACATTGACCCACTGTAACATCGAACCACTGTTACATTAACTCACTGTAACATTGACTCACTGTAACATTGACCCACTGTAACATTGACCCGTGCTTTTTAAGTATGTTTACCGAATATTATTCATCAGGAAAATTGTAGTGTGCAATGAAAAGGAAAGTATCTTTTTAAAATATTATAATATGAAAATAATTTCGTTTTTGACGGGGCACGAAGAATATAACACAAACATAAAAATATACGATGATGATATGATTTAAATAATTATGTTTTTTAATCAAAATTAAAGAATAGTTAAGTAATGATGAGTAGGAAGTCATCTTTCATTATTTTTAAGTATTGTTGATCAAATCGCAAGTTTTCGGCGATTTCTTTCATTCTTCGGATAAAGACCTCGAACATAATGGTATGAAAAATGCACAGAGTTCTATATCAGTCTAACATACGCTGAACATCTAAACATGTACACAAAAAGTATGTAAATACTAGGAATTGTTGAGTCAGTATTTATTAATTATATCGTGTACATGTTCTTAACATTTAGCACATGTATAGATATACAAGTAAAAAATCAAGAATACATTATTAACAAATGCGTTAAGGAAACTGAAGCATAAATTGTAAATATGTTGTCGATTTGGTAATATTTGAATGGCAATGGGTATTCTTGACTTTATTCTAATATGAGACATATTTTTTTCAATAATAACTTTATCTGACTTGAACTAATTTTGTTGAATGTATTATAAATACATTAATTTAGTTTTTTATTAAACAATTATTACAAGATCCCTCTGTTTTGTTTTCATAGTGAATAACGTGGTAGAAATCTTTTAAATCCGTACTGACTCTAAAAGTATTATGAGTAGAAGTCGATGTGGTCTAACCTAACGGTTGACATACTTTGTTCATATATAGGGCAAGGTAAATAAACATAATTTTACAATTAGTTTTAAAAGAAAAAGAAATGGTTTGATAATTACGGAGCCATTACAAGTAGGTAAGCATTAATAATATTTGGTTATAAAAGGTCAGTCGAAAATTATTAATTTGCCTATACAGCAGGAATATTTGTAAAATGATATTTTCCTTATGTGACGATTGGTTTAAAAAAATATAAACTAATTCTAGATCTACTCAAATACAAGCAGACAGAAATTAAAAACATTCTAATGATGATATCTAATGTAAAAATATTTAAATAAATGAAATTTATGAATAAAGTATTTAACAATCATTTTTGTTACAATAAATATTATGTATATTTCTAGTAGAAATATTGTTCTTTGCTAATTTGTAATAAGTTTTATTAAATTAAAATTATTTATTTTTAATTATCATTTATGTGGTTATCCTGTCCGTGCTCTGCCTTGCTCTCTGTGCAATTTTTGTTCGGTGTCCTCCAGGGCTCGTTGTCTCTGGTTCTTGTTGCTAGGTCGTTGGGGGTACGTTCATTGAACGCCGCCTTTCCTTGTTTATCATATTTTATTGTACCGAGTAAAAGCATGCGAGCTGTAGATTGGTTTTTTAAATAATATCCGCATACTTATAATTTTGAAGTTCGTCACGGTGTATACAAAGGGATTATTATGTTTTCGAACAGGCTACTGCTACACGGACATTATTGCAGGTAGGAGATATATTCATATTAAATATTCAAGTTTTATAGATATTAATATATCAGTAACAATCTGGGAAATAAAACAACGACAAGAATTAAAAAAAAACATGCAGATGCAGACTCAACCGCGTTCATTCATCATATTTTTTCTTTTTTGGTCGTTTGTCCAATGCGGGAGTAAGCGTTAACTTATCAAAAAACAATATTCAAAACATCCCTTTAAAGAAGACCGCTTTGACTTGTCTCTTTGTTGTGCTGTTATATACTAGAATATATTTTTAGTTCATAACCCAGGTTAGAGAAGTTAAAATGTATTATTTTCCTGATCTCGAGCAACATTTCTTCGATGTATTAATTCAAAACATGATACAATACATCATGGAGAGAATCAAACCGGGTCTGCAATTTTCGTGTAATTTTGTTGTTATTTATGCTTTCGAGGAATAACGACTTCTTCAGATCTCTTTATGGTCAACATACCATTTATTTTAAGATTTGAAATGACAGTAGCTTATAAAATAATAGAAAATATCACCTTTTTGGTCATATTTAAGTGACCTACCTGAACATTTTCCTTCCCTTTACAGACGTTTAACAAATTCTTACAACTGATTCTTTTGATATATTAATAATAAATAAATGCTTAATAGCAGTTACGTATTACAAACCTTAAAATATTATTTTGTTTAGCTTCTGTTGTATTTTCAGGGAAATATAACAATTAGATGGATTGTTTGAAACATATCTGATTTTGAAATGGATGACACACAAGTATTCTATAGCCGAGTCACCCTTCATGACATTTTCAACTATCTCGGATATTCGAAGGTAAAGTCTGAAAAGAGAGTGAAAATATATGACAATGCAAGTAGGTGTTTGGAGCGTGTAATGATAAGAAATTGGTATGAAAGCGTTGAAATATATGTTCTTGGAAGTCGTGGAGAAGGTATAGCTGTTGCCTTAGGTAGTGATATGGACATATTAAAGCTACAACCAGCTGTTATGTGTTTCAAAACGTTTCCTGTAGAAAACGATGAGATAATTGACAAATATGTTGCTACGTTTGAATTACACTTTGATGATGTTCCTGAGGGATACGTTAAGTTGCATTTAAAAACAATACAAAATATTCAATTGCCCGACAAATACAATCAATTAGTTATGAGAATCACAAAAGCATTAACAAATGAAAGGTATTTAAAAAATAACGAACGAATCATCGAGGCTGTAGAATATAAAGTTGAAAATAATGTCCGAATTGTAGGATGGATCAGTGAACACTTTCAACTAGAAGAAGCCAATGGGCCTGCACAGCCGCTTCAGTTTCATTTACCTAAGTTGGGTCATCATTTGTCAATAGATAACGTACCAGCTTTTCCCTGTGAATATCCGTCTTTCTTTAACGAGTGGTTCGAACGGGTTCAAGATAAGTCCTGGCCTAGTGAAGAGACATCGATGCAAGTAAAGGAATCAAAATTATTTGTTGTACCCGTTGGCTTAGCTGAAAGTAATGCAGAAGAATTACAATGGAGGATTTCTTGTACACTTGCAGAAAGATTGTTGGTAAGGTCCTTCAGTGATGCGCAAATTAAAGCATATACTGCAATGAAAATGATTTTGAAACATGTACTGAAACCTGTTTGTGAACATATCACTTCCTACCAAGTAAAGAATGTTATGTTCTGGGTATACGAGAATATCAAAAATATCCTGAACATTGCAGATTTCAATGAAATTCTGATTGACGCCATAGACTTTCTAAAACAATGTCTTGAAGTAAGGTGTCTCCAGCATTACTTTATACTTTCAAGGAATCTGATGTTTGAAAAAATATCAGATAAAGAACGCAGCTGTTTATTTGATCGCTTCAATGAAATTCAAATGGATCTAAGATCCGTTCTACGACGATGTCCTTTGATAAATGATATGTACACTCTACCGGAAGATGAAGTGCAGAAAAGGTTGCTTTTTAGGAATCTGGTTGACGAGTTATTAACAGCAGTTCTATCCATTGATCCTGAAAAATTTGAAACAGTTGAACATTTATTCCATTGTGCAAAATCCGAAGTCGAATTAATCGAGCTCTTGAGGAAAGAAGTGCTACCTGTCGTGAGGCAAAACAATCCATTCGAATACTTCGAGCTTATATCATTAAAAAGTGACGAAGACATTCTGGGTATTATTATGCAAGGGATCTATCAAGGTTACGCCAAAGAATGGCTCGAATAGCATGTGTTTTCACACAATGTCATTTTTGTACAGGTAATAGGTATAAAACCTGAACGCGAATAAAACTGTTGTCATTCATTTTTCACTTCATAAGACTAAGTGTAATTGTAACTTACATATTTGAACACGTTTGAAACGTTAGTTGTGATTAATAACAGAATATTATTCTCTTGGATATATATTTCAATATAACTTTGGAGAAACCGGTATATAAAATAGTATATCTTAGCATTCATCAATATGTTTTTAAACCTCGAATGTAGTCTGATATTGAGAATTTGTCCTTCTTGTAGATTCTAGAGTCTTTTTGAGTATAATTTGAATGTTGATATATTTTACATATTTATGGTATGCTGAATCCGGTAAAGGAGGATACAAACAGAAAACTAAATATTGAAAATTGAACTTACCATTTAAAGTAACCACAAAAAATGTCACCAAAATGTTTATTCTTTTAACGAATGTCAAAATCATTCGTGAGAGCGACGACTTGGATAGTGTATTTAACGTGATTTTTTTTATTTTGCCAGTGTGTTTTATTAATACAACAATGCACGAAATTCAATGATATTATTGTCTTGAATATAGAATTACGTTAATTCTTAAACATTTATCAAAATACTCGGTTACATTACATTAAAATAAACAGATTAAATGTGACTGAGACCTTTTCTTACAAGAAAACGCCGATTTCGTGAAAGAAATGCACCAATATTTATATCATTATTAAAAATGCCAATTTTTAGCATATCATTATATGTATTTTGTAATCGATATGGAAAAAAGTTTACCAATTATCAAATATATATACACATTCTAAGTCCATTTGTAAAGATCAAATATGCCAACAGGTTTAAACATGTAATAACCTTGAAAAATAAAAATCTGAGAAACGTTGTTTCTGAAACTCCTTTTGATCAACTATATTGTGTCGCATGAACCATTTCAGAAGGATCCTTAATATTAGTTTACTTATTTTACAATGGCCAACGAGAGTGTACAATTTCAGTTTGTAACGTAATGAATGTATCTTTTACCGCTTGTTGTTAATGTTAGTGATAATTTAAGCTCAAGCTAGTACATCTACCTGTCTCTCCTCTAAGATTACGTCACAGACAAATATTTGCGTATTTTGCTTAACACCACGAAAGAAAAAATACGTTGCAAATAACATTTATGATTTTCAGTCCAAACATAATATAAATGCATATCATAGAGAAATATTATCGAAAGTTATCACATTTTTATGTTATGTCGATCTTTCTGATGTATAGAGATGTTGATCGAGAATTATTAATAAGTTGAATAAAATTGTATAATGCTGCCTCTTCAATGATTTCAATGAATTCAGTCATGAATTTACACGAATTTAATATTTTATTAACCGCATACCAAAAAATAAAAACCTTTTGAAGCTAATAAAAAACATTTTTTATTGCCGTGTCTATAGTATACAACGCTAACATTTAGCGCGTATGTTTGTAAAACTCAAATGAAGTCGCATCAAAATATATCCTCGGTCGTGCAGTACCATTCGTACGGAGTCGCAAAAGCGGCACAGGTATGTGATCAAAACATGTTTTACATTTTAACAGTTGCAGACAGAAATTGACATAAAATTCAACACATATTCTCACAGTGATATCATACGTAAGAATATATTTGTATTTTTAAAAATAGAGTTTTAAAGTCAATATTTTATGAATCACAGTGTTAAATATTTTAGTAATGAGATAGGCCGAGAAGTATTTAATATTTTAATAATAACTCTTACTAAGGGTATGATGTCATTACAATATCATAAATATAATACACTATCAGAGAAATAATGAACTATATCATCACATCTTATATATGATACAATTTCAAAATCATAATTGAAAAGAGAAATTGTTAATCGTCCAAAAATGAAATATACAGTCACGTAAATACTCATTAAAAAACCGTCATTTTTTAAATGCAAAGTGCATGCAACTGTCTAATCATCGATATTTATTTAAAACAAATTATAAAAACACATAATTGTTTTTTTAATTATTAATTCCTTAGAAGAAAATAATCCTTTTTTATGACCAGTCAATTGCTAATATAGAAATAGTGATGATATCCAATAATTATTATCAAAATCAAAGAAGCCCTGCTCAAAAGACTGGTGATATTGGTACTTAGTCAACAATATCGTCCGAGAGCAACGGTGTCATTACAGGTATTTAAATAACTTAAATGACCTTGTTTAACTTAAATGACCTTGTTGAAGGTAAACTTTAGATTTTAATAGACAAGTATCTTAAAAATAATTATAAATTTCATAATTTTTGGTACCATTTCGGAAAAGGTTCTTGTTACAATATCCAAACTATATTAAATATGTATATGCTATCAAATCATTTTATTGCAATTGTCATGCATTTATTGTTCGAAAGGTTTTTTGTTCATAAACATGATCATTGCGATAACTATCACAAAAAGTGATATTTGTCGGTTTGTGTGAATAGCTAGGTAATTTTATACTGGTATCTGTTTGGAAAAGATTTTCGAATTGCTTAAGTTCTTTTGTATTTTAATATGCATATCATATTAAGGCGATTTTCTTGGTGTTATTTGAAACCAATCAAGTATATAAATTAACCTTTGAAAGTAAATGAATATTAGCAAATACAATATATGCTATTAATTGCAAAAGCTTAAATTGTGCTATTTAAAAGTATTTCCTTTAGATAAATACTCATAACGAAAAATACATAGAACAAAATATAGAATCTAAGAAGTTTGTGTTGATTTGAAGTTATAAGTTAATTCATTACCACTTAAAAATTGGAAATGTGTAAATATTAAATATTGCTATAATTTTATTTTTGTAAACGATATTTTGGATATTACTTCAAGGGCGTTTTCACGGTCGTTAAGTACATCACCTGTTTAATGATTTACAAAAGCATTTTGTTTTTGTGTAATAGAATGGCAGAACAATTGCACTAAATAATACAAGAACCAACGACGTTTTATATATAAAATATATAATAGTTGCAAGTGTACTTTAAAGTAAAGTGGTCCATTTTTGAAGGCCCAGAAATACCACGATAACAATAACGTTAACAATATTGAGTATAATACAAGACAACAATATAAATTAATACAAGACTGCAAAGTACGAACTAATTAAATATTGATGTTTTTCATATGTCGATATTTTTTGTTGTGTAATAGCCAAAGGATTTCTTATCTGTATAAATGTTTATTCGAACAAATAATATATTCATTCTAAATGAATTCGATGAAACGCTTTGTTTCTTGAAATATATAAATACATTTCAGATTCTGAGTTTTCTTCTTTCTTATATATTAAATGATTTTTGTTTTGTATTATATTCGCCTCAGATTATTACAAATGCAATGATGTTAGCGCCTAATATATGTCAATTACTCACTATGGAGAAGAATTTCATAAGACACGTTGTCTTTCATTCTAGTCTTTTTTTTCTTTCTTTCTTTAAATAATATTTGAACTGCTTTGTGTGAATAGTAAATTGTTTCATGTATATCGGTCAAATTCAATACTAATCCTTTTACTGCTTGTCGTTCATTTATGATCCATTTAACGTGATAGAAGGGATTTATGTTATGTGTGCTTCAAAGGAATAATTTATACATGAACCCAAAAATATAGGCAGTTGGATGCTACAAACAACACGTATTGCTCAAGATGATCACAATCATGCTAATTTGAAAGGTTCGTGACTGTCGTCGCATAAATTTTTTGTTTTTTAGTGTTTCTAGAGCCACTTTTAAATAATTATAGATTACGATGGGTTTAAAAAGTCAAACTATGTTAATAATTGTTAATGAACACTTTCAATTTATCCTCGGGGAAAACAAAGATGGCCACCACACAAGTTTTTTATTGTCCGCAAAACGTGTGTAAGGTTTGTTACAGTTTGAATCAAAACGTTCTGATATAGTAATTGAACCCAAATTTACGACAACATTACCTCAAAGCATAGTTTAAATATGAATATATTTTATTAAATTATTAATATTGTTTTTAGTTGAACTATATTTTGGTCCAAAACGATTTTATATAAATTATATGAAATAATACCTTTAATTGAAAGGATCGAGCACACAAAAAATATATTTTATATTAAATTTTAACCGTTAACGATTTTTAAGCGTAGCAATGAAAAACATTCACTTGCTACAAAGCATTTATTGAATGTTTTGTTCTTATTTACAAATCTTTAGAAATCTAAATCTTGTCCAGTGAAAGGTTCGTAATGAAATGTTTGTTACTTAAGTATTTCAAAAGTGCATAATTTTACCGTACAACGGAGACAGGGCTTTACAGTTTGCTTTATTTGAAATGTGATGTAATATCTAATCTATGACGTCATTATTGATCAATATTATTTTCCTTTTTTGGATTTGAGAGCGCACTGTATTAGTGACAAAATTTGTTGGGAATATATAAGGATAAAAGTTGATAAATTGATCTTTTCTATTTTGAAATGACTTTTTTCTTAAAGATGGTAGCCCAACACGTGTTAAGCTTATTATGTTAACCGTGTCTAGATCTTTTATGAGCAAATGCTATATAACATTAAATGAAAGGTTTGTTACGTATGGTAACAAACAGTTCACACTAAAAGAAGTAAATTATTATAAAAAATAAAAACTTCTTTGAAAACAAATTAATAGTTTGTTGTTTGTTCTATGTTAAATGTATTAAAAGCACTGTATTCTCTCATTTTTTTCCTTTTTCTTTAAAAAAAAGATCGGGTGTTTTAAGTGTTTGAATCTGAAACTGATGTTTGATAGTTTATCATACATTTTTTTCTGTATTTAATATTTTTTAAGAATATTTTATAATGTCAGTACATAATAAGTGTAAGAGAAAGTAAGTATGTTAGTGTTCGAGTAAAGACGTCAAAAACTTTAGTCATAAAAACATTGTTTTAACGAACTCGTCAGGAGGTAACGAACCTTTCATGTAATCTGATACTTTTTTGCAGACAATACAATGGTCAAGTCTCGTGCAGAAATTAAGAGATAGTACAGAGAAGCCTGAAAGAAGACAAAGAGGCCTACGAGTTATATCTTCTTAAGGGATGACAAAAAAAAGAAAAAAAACTATGTCCCTGTAGATAAATTTAGCAGAAAAGAGAAATCAATCAGGCGACTCAAGAACAAAGTGTTACTACACCGTCATAGATTAAAGGAAAAACTGAATCAAGACAGAAATGATGATGTACGAATGCAATCTCCGCCCGAATCGAGTGACTACGAACGTCGGATGCTACACCACATCACTTGGTTGTGAATATGCTTTTACCTTGCCGTAAAGCAGGTGCTAGAATGAGAGTATCAAAGGCTTTATAGAAAAAGACAAAAGATTACAAAAAGCTACAAGAAAACTACGCAGAACTCAAGAAGAAATACAGTACGAAAATACGATCTATATAGAGATTGAAAACCAAGCGCAAGCAGATAGATCAGACTGAAATTCTTCCGTCAGTATACGTGTCACCAAGAACATTGACAAAACACCAAATGAAAGTTGCAAGATTAACTTGAACTCAAGCATCAAAAGTGAGAAGACAGTTAATTCTAGGAAATACAGTTCTGACTGAAAATAGAGCCAGCAGATCTTTGAAAGTCCACAGCCAGAGTCAGTAAATAAAACGAATCTTCTCAAAAAATACCGT